GTAGAAACCATAATTCTTGTTTATGCACTTAAAGCCCTAGACTTGAATGGTGTTGCGTAAGGAAGTTTCCCAACTCTTAGAATTCAGCAGGGCCAATAGTATCAAAGTGTGCCATCAGTCAGGTAATCAGGTGTGGGATGAACCTTATCCTGTACTGGTGACCCTAGGCAAAAACAAGAAGCCTTCCCGGCTGTTCAAAGTTTGGTTTGAGTCATTTTTGCTTACTTTATTTCAATTTCTAGGAACATTATATGTGTCATCTTTATTTGACAATAAAATAAAAGACATAGGTTGTATTTAGGGTTTTATTTCTTGTTAACAGCATTGCATAGTGGCACTTGCTAGTGGAATTCAGATGCATCATAAAAGAAAGGAGAGAGTTTTTATTCTACTACTTGGAATCCCACATAGCCACTACATTTTATTTTCATCCATGATTTTGTTAAAGACTTCTCTTCAAACAGTTAGCAACGATCAGTAATAGGTATTTCATCATTTTGGGTGATATTTTTATGGATTTGAATTTTTCTTGTCAGTTTTTATTTTTCAACAAATTTTTGTATGAATCTGCCTTTTAGGTTCTTCTTCCTTATTTCACATCCATTTTATGTGAAATTTGTCCCAAAATCTTGGCCTATGAGACCTTCACGAGACGTCACAATTATTTTTCAGATCAAAACCTTATTTTGATAGAACTGAGTGCTTAAAAATTGGGCGTAGATCAAAAACCTTATTTTGATAGAACTGGGTGCTTAAAAATTGGGTGTCTTTTGAGGAATGGGCTCTTGGACTTGGTGGTTAGGGTGGTAGAGCCACAAGGTGAAGTAAAAGGTTCCCTTCCTAGCCTTGTTAACATGTCCAAAAATGGGGGCTTTTTGTAACACTTAGATTAGATATGTCAAAACAACGTTGTATTGGAGTTTCAGATAGTTACAATCTTACTGGATTCAAGTAAAGTTTGTAGAAAATTCGTGGTTTTATGTTTTTTTTTCTTTTCATAAAAAAAAGAAAAATCAATTGAAATCTTTTTTTTTATTTTAAATTGTTTGTCCAATTGCTTGGATCTGCCGATCCGGTTCTGAGGTACCAATTTGAATTTGTCCAATGAGGAACCGATTCCAATCACGATTATGTGCTTTAAAACCTGCCTGTAAGTGAATGCGAAGTGATGACTGTGGATGGAAGCCTAATTTCTTGGTTCCCTCTTGCTACCCTCTGCGTGATTTGAACTTGGTGCCTTGTAGGCATAGGACTGTTTGGGGATTTGCGGCTCTTACTTTGGTTGGTCAACCTTTTATTAATGGTGCTCTTTTGACTTTTAGGTTTTATGGCCACCTATGCCATAGATCCAGTGTGTGAAACAGTGGTAGGCGGTGCCTAGGAGGCCAGGGTGATGCTGGTTGTCTAGGCATGATATGGCCGCCTAGCTGGCGACTTAGTCATGAGGCACCCTGGCTTTACATATATTCATATATGTGTATAATTGGCACATATCTTACACAGATGCATATATCGTTCGTATAACATGTAATAAATTATATATTTTTATATGAAGCATACGCAGAGACAATTGAGCACAAAATTTTTGAATGATTAGAAAAATCCAAAGTTTAGAAGTAATTAGGTAGATGTTGAATCTCATTTCACACATTTAACATAAGCACTTAGCCTTCCTAGTGCTAATAGCTGATGGCTCCATGTCAAAGATTGTCATCATCATCATCCGAGCTTTGTCCTAACTATTTGCCATTGGCTGCATTAATCCTGTTCCATCATTCCACTATATCAAGGGTTATACCGTCAGTTAGACCACAAGCTTTTCTCAGTACTTCCATCTATGAACTTTTGGGAGCCTTCCACTTGAACCAAATCACTCTCCCTAACTAGTGTTGTTTAAGTCGACACTGCACATGGCCAATCCACCTAAGTCTACTTTCCCTCGCCTTATCGCCTATTGGCCCTACCCTTAAGTTCCCTCAGATGTATTCAATCTAAATTCTATCATTTCATGTCTTGCCACTAATCTATCTCAACATCCTCATCGCAACTACATTCATTCTATGAATATGTTTCTTGACTAGCATTCCGTCTCATAAAGCATGGTTGGTCTTATAGCTGTCCTATAAAACTTCCCATTAGTTTCATTGGTATATGGCGATCACATAACATTCTGGATACACATATCTACTTTTTCCACTCAGCTCTAATTCTATGTGCAACATCTTCCTCATTATCTCCATTCTCATAGATCATTCATCCAGATATCGAAACTAATCGCTCTTAGTTACTTGGCCATCAATCTTAACTACTACCTCGTTTCTATTCCTAATATTACTAAACTTGCATTTTATATACTTTAACTTTGTCAGGCTAATTTTAAAACCTTTAGATTCCAGATCATCCCTCCAAAGTTCTGACTTTGCATTGATGTTGTCTCTAGTCTCATCAATCAAAACTATGTCATCCGAGAATAACATACAACACAAATCCTCATCCTGTGGATGCCTAGTTAACTCGTCCATAATCAAAACAAATAGATGTGAGCTCAACTCTGACCTTTGAGGTAAGCCTACTGTCATTGAAAACTCGCTTGTCTCTCCACTAGTTGTCCTTGCACTAGTTTTTTTTGAAGTTGTTAACTGTTGTCTTCACACTAGTTAGCGCTCCCTCGTATATATCTCTCAGCATATCAATATATCCTCTAAAGACTACTTTATTTTCCAATACCCTCTAAATTAACTCTCAAGGTACCCTATTAAATGCTTTCTCTAAATCAATAAGGACCATGTGGAAGTCTTTTGTCTTCTTCTTAAACTTCTCAATCAATTGCCTAAGTAAGAAAATACCCTCAAGTCTGCAACATTTGTTACCGGATCTCTGATCCTTGATTCTTATGGGTAGTTTGAGGTTTAAATAACCAATATCTTCTCTTAACCTCTCTTGATATTTCATAGAGAGAAGTCCATAAAATTTGGATTTGAATGGATTTTTCAAAGGATTCTCCTTTACCAATCTTTTAAAATTTTTTACAAATGAAATTTTTGTGGAGAACACCTTGACTAAGGTGTCAGACGCGCACCTAGCGTTGCCTTCTTGGCCCCAGAAGAGGCACCTTGACCCCTATCCCTAAGCCACCTTGAGGTGTTGGACGCTTGAAGCAGATGCTTTTTAACACATTGGATTTTTGTTCTAGTATTGGCATTGACATGGTGCTTAGCACGAAAGCCATTGCGCTAACGTGCATCCATTTTCTTGCTTTTCTCTGCTCGCTCGAAAGTTTACGTGTGTGTTAGCGCACATAGTTTTCTTTGCAGCTAGCGCCCTTTTTCTTCGTGCCGTTTTCTTCGCATTGCACGCTTCAACGTTAAAAAGTAAGCCAACAAGTGCAAGCAAGAAAATGGATGCGCGTTAGCGCAATGGCTTTCGCACTAGGCTAGCAGTTGCTTCTTGCAAGAAAACAGATGCGCGTTAGTGAAATGGCTTTCGTGCTAGGCTAGCCATTGCTTCTTGCAAGAAAATGGATGTGCGTTAGTGCAACGATTTTCGTGCTAGGCTAGACATTGCTTCTTGCTTTCGAGCCAGCTAAGAAAATTTTCACCCATCCGACAAAGCCCTCCTCTGATCAAATGCCCTTGGAACATGCATTTGTCCAAAGGAGCATTTCTCTTTCTTTACGGTTATTCTTCCTCAATACCTCAAAACGGTTTGGAGGCACGTTTGGAGTTTGAACCTCTTAGGGATATTTCGAGCTTTCTAGTTGACCTATTATTGCTCCATTCCCCTTTCCCCAGATTTAGTTATTATGCATTTCGAGCTTCTACATCTACCTAGATGACTTCCCAAAGTTGTTTAGCTACTTAAGTTGGTTTTGGCAATGACCTTGCGGTTGTTCTCAACTTCTCATGGTATCAACGTTGAGTTTCCATGGAGGCTTCATTCAGAAGATATCCTTAATCATTGAGGGTGTTCTTAGTGGTATGTATTTAGCAAACTGAGTTTGAACTATAGTTACCCGAATCCCGAATCTCTCATTGAAGGTTGTGATTCCAATTCAGAACTCCGATATAGCGATTCCTACTAGGAATCTTCACAGAACCCGTTTTCGTGTTTCCTATTTTCAGAAAATCTCGACACCAAAACTTATAGAATCTCGTTTTCAATATTTATTGATTCTCGATTCTGCACTCGTTGAAACTGGTTTCCATATTTATTGGAATTCTACCACTTCCCCCTTTCCCCTCCCTTTTTTTTTGTCTTGTTGTTTTTTTTTGAAAAGTGATGTTTAGAAGTTTTCTAGGCATCAAACTACTCGAAGTAGACACACAATCTCAAGCCACAAGGTGTAGTAGTCTTTTTTGGTATGAAATGACCAATAGAAACCAACGTGGTGGTCCACATTCTCTACTTAGTTCTTTAGGTATGCATTGTATTGATCTAATGGAGAGATTGCAACTCGAAGATGTTAGAAACAATGTTATACAAATAGTATAAATGTGCATGTATGGCATGTTGGTCAATGAACGGCATTGGGACATGTATTGTTTCCCTCTTAGTTCCCTCTTAATTCCAAAGATGTTGGAATATGGATTCCATTAATGAAGGAATCTTGATTCCATATTGGTCAATTTCAACTAGGTTGGGTACTCGATTCCAAAACGCTAGGAATCTCGATCCCATCGTTATAGGGATCTCAATTTTATTTTGGTCGAATATTGATTCCTAAAAATATGAATCTCTTCCCCCACTATTCCTCTTGTACGGGCGTCGATTCTGAAAACAAAAATCGTTCAGCCGGCCATGATTCCGTGCTTCCGATTTCCAAATCGTTTCGGGTAACTATGGTTTGACATTAGTACCTCTCAAAGCTGACTTGAGCTTGTTTTTCAGTCTTGACCGTTATGGTCGTGTTCTATGCGAATATTTTGCATGATTATTTTGTTTGATTGCAGCCAAATAAATTTCTTTTCCTTTTCTTTGTTGAAATATGATGTTGATCTCAGATTCAGGAAGGCGTTTTGGTGGTCAAACTCGTAATCCTTTGCAGCACTCAGAGCATGATGGACTTCTTGGTAGTGGTGCTTTTCCCAGACAATCAGGGCATATGGGGGCATTGAATTCCAAAGCTCGAGGAAATGGTGGTCAGAATCTTAGTAGAAGCACTGAACCATATCAGCCTCCTCGCCCCTACAAGGTTTGTTCCATTGTATGCATAGAATTGAAGTACCATAGCTTTTTGCGTTCTGTATTTGTCTTAAGATTCTGGTTTTATGATTCTTGTCAGGCATCTGTTCAGTTACGACGTGATACTTTCGATCTTTGTAACGACGAAACTTTTGGTTCTATTGAATGTACAAGTAAAGATAGGGCAGAAGAGGAAAAGATGAGAAGAGGTAGATTTTCTATGCACTTCTATTTTAGTTACATCTCTGAAATTACCTTTTTTGTGTGGATGGAATCATCCATGTTTGACTTCTTTCTTGTAATCTATACTGCTTTTTGTGATGTTTGTTTGTCTGTCATCATTGTGTTTGAGACAACTATTTTTTATTTATTTAATTACTTTCGTTAGATCTTTCTCTCTCGTTAGGCAGTAGGGGCACTCCTTTCACTTTTTCCTTGCATTTCTCTCTCCTTATAAGTTGGGAATCTCACCCTACAAAGGTTTCCTTACATGTATAGGATTAAAGTAAATTTCTAACTTTTCAGTTTTTTTTGTTCTTTATTATTAAGTAAAGTAAGGAAATGATTTCTTATCTTTATTATTTATAATTAGGCTTATCATTATTTAAACTATTTTTTTCTAGTTTTAAATAAGAGATGGAAAAATAATTTGTCCTTGTACAACAGAAATAAATAGGTTGTTTTTGTAGATATATGATGAAAATGAATTCCCAAATTATTGGAGTTCCCTTCGTTTTCTATTTTTCTATGATAACACGGAATATGAAGTTTTATTTTTGTATTTATAAGTTTTTATTATGTAATAATAGTCTTTGTCTTGATGATAATTTGAAAGCAATACAGATTTGGTTAGTTTCTCCTGTGCACTGCACACACAGTGGACTAGTGGCTTCTAAATTCGAAAAATTTATGGATATTTTGCAGTTTTCCTTTTTACTTGAACATCATGGTTTTTTATTATATTTTGGTTGTAGCATCCTTTGAATCAATGAGGAAGGAGCAACAGAAAGCACTGCAAGAGAAACAAAAGGACATGTCAAACAAGATCAAAGAACATAATTTGACCGATATAGATTCACTCGTTGCTAAACCTAATGATGTGAATTGCCTTCATAGTAATGAACCACAGAGATCAGAGGATCACGTGGGGCCTGTTGCTCCATTTGATCATTCTAAGAGTTTGCATGCTGCTGCATCCAGACCTCTGGTGCCCCCAGGTTTTGCAAGCAATATCATGGACAAGAATCAGGGTTCCCGAGTTTCAAAAGCCTTACCTACTCCACAGGTAACTACCTTTTTTGTTTTGAATTAACTTCACAGTCATATATGTCCAAGGATGATTGTCTTCTCTTATATTACAACTTCATGCTTTTATTTGCTTTTATTATTATTATTATTTTCTTTTCTTTATTTTTTTATTTATTTATTTATTTTTTTTTTTGTTTTTTGGGATTACGAGTTCATGAATTTTCTATAAAAAGCACAGAAATTTTTTGACAGGGAAAGGAGCAGAGGCATGCAAACTATGCATCTTATTTGCACTTTTTTTTTCCCGATAAGTTGTCTTGAAGAATTAGCATATAAATTGATTCATCTCTTTGATGTTTCACCAGCTCCCTATACCTTCACGGGAAGCTAATACCGAATCGATGGTTAATGGTCTGAATGCAATTGATAAGCTGATGATAAATGGTACTGAGGTAAACTATAAAGCACCAGAACCATCTTCAACATCTCTGGAGATGAACAAGCAACCAGATGACTCAGAGATGCATATGGATGGAGCTCTGATGACTAGTAGGGTTTCAAATGTTTCTGATTCCCGCATTGTTTCAGACATTCTGTCTGATAAGCCTAACCAGGAAAAGCTGAGTGAAGATCTGATTAACAATGATGGAACATTTTTAGCTGTTGAGAACGGTTCCCTTTTGGCTAATACACAAGTGGTTCCACCACAAAATCCTGCCTCAATTTTGGAGAAGTTGTTCGGAAATTCTTTGACAATAAATGATAAAGACTCCGGTTTTATTGAGGTAATATGAGCTTTCTCAATTGCTTATATTAGTTCTTTGTTTTCTTCTCTATAATTTCTTGTAAACATCACGGATTTTGTAACTGTAATTACATATTCAATATGCTTTCAGCAATCTTGGTGTTGATATGAGACTTCTGTAATTATAATAAAACATTGCATGTCATGTTTTGTGACATTCTATTATGTTTATCACATCGCCTTGACAAAGTTTCTCTTGAATTCCTCTATGTACTTTAAAGGTATTGCTTTAGGTTTTCCTTATGTGTACTACATTGATTACATGCTAATTGATATTAGCTGTTTATTCAGAAGATTTTATTTGCGGAACTTTGTGATTTGACATGTTAGATTAAATTGTATCATGTCAGAGTACAATTAAAAACAAAGTAACTTCATGTGGTAGTTTATAGTCTCTGCTTATTTTCCTGCTGTCGTATGTTTCTTCCTTTTAACTCGTTTTAGCTCATGCAGTTTGTGTGTGTGCATATACGTGCATGTGTGCGTTCATGTGCGTGTGTTGGGGGAATGGGGGAAGGGTTGGTTTGGTTTGGAGTTGTCTAAAGGTAGAGAATAATCTGGAATCTGGAACCATTGATAGTGGTGATGAGTCTGGGATGGTCTGATTCTGAAATTTGCAAATCGTACTTTTGTCTTAGGATTTTTCAGTTCTTTCTTATTATTTGCATTTTTATTTGAATGACAAGTTTTGCTCAACGTATGTTGGGGGTTCTAGCTATGACCTTGGGGATCTTCTGGAGAGCACCAATGGGACAGCTCAATTATTGGAGCCTGCTTAGTGACAGGAGGATAAATCCTTTTAGGGCATTTCTTTTGAGAGCTTTTGGGGTGTTTCTCGATTGATCTGGTTTAAGGTTTGTTTTTGTTATTTTTATTGTTACTAGAAAAATTCTATAGTGGAGTGTTATGTTCATAACTTGAGAAAGCCCCTTTTCAAGCTATGCATTGATGGAGCCAATGGAGATTGACCGTGTTTGTTGTACTTGATACTGAGTTGCTCCTGAGGCAGAACCTATTGTGGTTTGAGGCCTCCAAGTTGATGAAGGTCATTTGAGAACCTTCGGAAAGTCTGGCAGTCCAGATTGGAGTTTTTGGGAATTGGGAGCATAGCTCCTTAGCGGTGCAGATTATTTGTCATGAGACTAATTGTGCTGGTTTGCTTATAGATCAAAACTTTTGGATATTAAGGATGAGAAATTGAAGAGATGGTGCTGTCCTTGGAATATAATGGTAGAAATTTGAAGGGCTCCCATCGGAATACACTAAGTTAAAAAATGATACTGATGTTTACGTAAGGGTAGGCTTTCTTATTTCAAATCAATCCATAAGCCCGTCACATATATACAGAAATATCTCCTGGTTGATGGAAATGCTTATACACTACTTAGAAAAAAGTTGGGCATCTCTACTGGTCTCCAATACCAATTGTCACCTTGAAGATCTAACAAGACATCCCAAGCCCGAAGTGTACTTCCATGTAATCTCTTCTGCAGCTTGTCTTCTTATAAAAATTATCAACTTGCGACTAAATAGCAGCGGCCATTGTTCCTTTTCTTCTCTCATACCAAATCCAATGTTTCCCTTGACCCCAGTGAACTCTAAAAATAGCCTTTGCCTCTCTCTCAATTAAGCATGTATGCATATGCACATGCACGTGCATGTGCATATATGCTTTCGTTGGGGTTTGTTGCCCTCAATGGCCTTGAGAGCATGTAAAAACTCGTGGTTATAATGATATTGTACTCCAGTGGGAGTGTGTTCTATATGGGACCAGAAAGGCATATCCTTGTAGTGCCCTTTGACTCACCCATGTTGGGTGGTCTAGGCCTAGTGGTTGAGTCTAAAACCCTATAGCCCTAGCCGTAAGGCACAACCTTCATAGAGGGTTTGCTGGGCTATCTCTCGTTGAGGTCGGAGATGTTTAAGGTGGATTAGCCAGGAGATGGCTGGTATCGTGTGTGTGGTTGATGGCTTGTGAGGTAAGGGCCAAATCCTCAACATTACCACCGCATGGCGCATGTACAAATGATAGCCACATTTATGGGAAGCAACCCATTAAGGCAATACATGTACATGCATTTGTGTTGAAGAGATGCCCCTGCACCATTGCAATAGTGTGACATGTCTATGTGAGCCATAACTTGACCTTAGGGGGATCCTGTAATCCATACACTTGACCCATGTTCCCCTTATTTATTGGTCAACTTTGATGGACCAAGCATGAGCTTGTGATTAACTGTGGGTCATAGGTTCTGTTGGGTTGCTTAGAGAAGATTATGGACCAAACATAGGTGGAGTGCGTAAGTAAATTTGCATAATTCTAAGTCGATGGATCCAATTATTTTTTGATCATTTTTGTTTATGTTTTTAGGAAAGTTTGTGAATAATAAAATGAATTTTTAAGTGCATTTATATATCTTATTTTGCATCATGAATTTTTAATTTAGAGTAAATGCATATTTCAGCATTAAAAGTTTTTGAGACATTTTAAAATTACCTAGAGGGGATTTAAAATATTTTTAAGGCACCTAAAATTATCTAGGACCGGCATGGAGCTTGGTAGCCAAGGGCCCACAGGTGAGCTCATTATATGTGGTGTGGGCCCACTTGGGCTCCATAGGCCCGCATGCCCCTCTCTCTGCTCTTTTCTCTTTTTGGTTGACTTGGTCAACCTAGTTGATTGGATAAAGGTTTTTAAAAAGAAGTTTGGAAAATTTTGCAATCATTGGTAAGTGTTCTAGAAGATCTAGAAAACTTCTAGATGATTTTTGAAAGGATATACGAAATCTATTGCATAAGCATCTTATCTTTTTGGATTAGAAGAGAATATTTCATGGGTACTAAGGGATAAGGGTTCTCGATATTTCCTTTATCATGATGGCTGATTCAAGGAATGGAGGGCTTAGATTAAAAGCCTTTCTTCACCCCATAGTTCACCAGGGATCAACCGTCCATATTGAATGCCAAATAAGATGGCAAACCCTAATCCATACACTACTATAAAGAGGCCCTCTATTGAATACAGCTCAGAATAGCTTGTCTTTCTCTCTCACATGCCACCCCCCCTCCTCTCTCTCTCTCTCACTCAGCTTTTCTCTTTCAATTCTCCTCAGGTGGGATGCACCAACTAGGGCACCAAAACGATGATATACCCCACCTATGATTAATCTAGGGGGGGGCTCCTCATTTAATCTCTGATCTACTTCGTTTTCTTGGTTATGTTATCCTACCCTCACTAGTTTTAAGTTTGCCACAAGTGCTTCCCATTTTAAGAGATTCAGCAGGGATTGAGATCAGTGTCCATTGAGCTTAGACGATCCGAATGGGGTGTATCAAGGTCCTTTGGAGGTACGAGGCAACTTATTCCGGTAAAAGGTTTCCATTGTTCTCGATTGATTTGCTTTTTTATTAATTCATTTTCTTTTATGAATAAAGCGTTTTTTTAAGGCAGTAGGAGATGATCCTTAGATCGTGGTAGGGTTTATTTTATTGTTTTTAGATTATAAGTGGCTTATGTAGGTAGACTTGCCAGCATTATTGCTAAGTTTTTTGTAAATACATATAGTAGGGTTGATCTACATTGCCACCTTTTAATTTCTCCTTATGCGTTTTTCCAATCCCAAGGTTTTTTCATTGAGCCTCATGTTTTATTCAACACTCTTTTTCTTTTTATGAAAGACTTCACACCATATTCCTTGTTGCCCTAAACTTTGTTAAAAGTCTCAATTCAAAGCATTGCTAAATTTTTTTTTTCTAAAAAATCCATTGTTCCTTTGAAGTTTTAGAAAATATCCCTCCAATGGAAAGTTTTATGATAACATTTTTTAAGTCTTTGTTTCATATTTCTCAAAGCATACCTAACTATGAACTTTTTCTTTTCCAAAAATATTTTGAGCTGATACAGAAATTTCTCTTTCCAAGTTTCTCTAGTTTGAACTTTAAAGACATTCCCCCAAATTTCTAATATTTCCATTATGGTATTTTCTCATACTCCCTTTGTTTGTTTAGTGGTCGTGCAAATTTCTGATGTATTTGCGACTTGGTAATGAACAAAAGTGAACATGATGTATATGTACCCATAAACCCAAGATAACGATCGTGGGTAAAGAAGCCAGTCCAAGAGAATAGGATTTACTTACCCCAAAAAAAGAAAATAGAATTCGTCTAGCCACAGTGATTGTAGGAAAACTTACAAGTGTTAGTATGGAGGTCGTGGATACAATGAGACAAAGGAGAGTAAACATAGCTTGTTTACAGGAAATTAAGTGAAAAGGGGAAAAATCTAAGAAAATAGATGGGAATAAACTTTGATATATAGGAAAGGATAATAATAGAAATGACATAAGCATAATAGTTAAAAAAGATTTAAAAGATAAAACTGTTAATGTCAAGAGAATAGGTGATTGGATCCTATTAATTAAACTCATATTAGGGGAAGAGATTATTAATGTAATCAATGTTTATGTACCACAACTAGGACTAGAGGATAGAATTAAGAGATAATTATGGGAGGACATGGATGGACTATTTCAAGACATACCAAATGGAGAGAGGACCTTTTTAGGAGGGGACTTAAATGGTCAAGTAGGGAAGAATAGTAGAGGATATGAAGAGATACATGGTAGATATGGGTTTGGTGAACGAAATGAGATGGGTGAGGCTATTCTAAATTTTGTTATGGCCTATGACCTACCAATAACAAACACTTATTATAAAAAGAAGATGAATATTTAATAACCTATAAAAGTAGATTATATAAAAGCCAAATAGATTTCTTCTTAGTTAAGAAGGTAGATCGACCATCACGTAAAGATTGTAAAGTTATACCAAGAGTGAGTTTGACTATGCAGCATAGGCTCGTGGTTATGGACGTTTGCATAAAGGATGGAAGAGAAGGGTGAAATTAATAGCTATCCAAGAACTAGGTGTTGGAATTTAAAAAATGAGAAGATAGACTAATCTAGGGATAAATTAGTTGAA